TCTTCTCGTTCGTCGAAAAAAATTGACATTTTCGATTGCTGATTCGCTAGACACACTTATATCTTCGCTCCAGCCGTTTAATCCCCTGACGAGGCCCTTGGGCAAGGCCGAAACCGAGTCTTCACCACTCGGTCGGGGTGGCCCGGGGCTGCAAGTATCAAACACAAGTCCTATCACAGCTTCTCAAATCGTACAGTCTCCGATATACAAGAAGGTCAAGTCGCTCCCGATTTCCCTCCAATGTCAATTGAATATCTCTACAAACTCACAATAGGTGTCTGTCAAGTAGATCAAAGTAAGAGCTATTCTCTTGAGCATATCAGTGATGAGGGGCAATATCAGATTCTCGTATCCACTGAATGCTCCGGCATGTTGAAAGCAAATATTCAGTCGAAACATTCGAATAAAAAATCATACAGTGTGCTCATCGAATACGACGCTCTAAACCCATTCAACTGGTGCTGCTAGTGCCCCGCTGGAAATCGCACACTTGGAATATGTAGTCACATCGCTAGTATTATTTGGTATTTGAGTGTTGCTCGTTATGATTCCACTTATCTAAATGAAAGGTCAAGTTCTTTCATGTCAGCCTTCCTAGATGCTTCTGATGCACCTTCCTCTGATGAAAGTGGGGAACAAGACGAAGATGACGATGTACTATATCAGTTGGGATAATACTTGCAACTACTAATCAGAAAACTAATCAAAAAATAGATAAAAAATTGTTGTCCTAACTGGCATGTGATTCGAATATGCTTTTGTTTGTTTAACTAGTGGGAACAGCGTGTGTGTCTTTAATAAACTTCCTCGAATCCGGATGAGCTCTACGCGCTGAGGAGGAGGCAACGTTGGTTCTCAAGTATACCAGCCGCCAACTGGAACCTAACTACACCTGAATGCCACGGAGTTAGCTGTTTCGTCCGACTCTGTCCTTCTGAGATGTGGAATACTTTAAAAGGGCAGTTTTTGCGCCTAAAACTGCGAAAACCCCAAGGCTTTTCTGTTAAATTTCAAGTAATTCTCAATTTTGACTATGGCCCACCGTTTTTATTGCACTTTTAAGGACATCAAACGATAGCTCTTGAAAAGTTACATCTAATGACAAATTTCCGAGTTGGTTCAAGACTTTCATCCGGGCCGTTTTTGGTTAGTACTGGCGAAAAACCCGTTTTGGGGTCGTATTTCTAAAATGGTGTCTGAGAAACGTTTTCAAAACTATGTCTGATAACAAGATCGGATGTAGCGTAAAATTCTGCGTCGAACGGTGTGCTTTTCTAAGTATCCTGGAGATCGTGGGTGGAGAAATAAAATATATGTGTGATTATTATATTTCATAGTTATATTTTTTAGTTCTCTTTTCACACAAAACACAGCGAAAAATACAAAATTTATTTTTTTCTGTTTCAAAATAAAATTGGATCAGACTTTTTATCCTTGTTTACTCACATAAAACAAATATCGGTTTCTTCCAAATGCAATTAGATCAAATGATTAATTCAAAATCATAATATCATATGTTGCATTCAAGGAGAATTTTGACGACATTTTTTCTCAACTTTTTTTTTCATCTCCAACTGCATTTTATTACTCGTACATTAGATGATTGGTTAAATAAAAAGAATTTTATTTTATTCGTGGCAGAATAGCTTGTCCTTGACAAAAACAAAAATCATCGAAAACTCTTCGAAAAATACTATTTTTAAAACTATTTGTATTATACATGGTTCGATGTAGATTGAAAAGCTGTTTGCGCATATGCGATCTGTTTAGGCTTTGATAGGATAAAAATAGATGCTACGTGAAAAAGTTAGTTTGACGCTGTGCTAAACTATGCACACTCATTCTATTATGGAGTTAATTTTCAAAAAATTTGTTATGATAGAATATAATGAAAAACGAGAAAATATTATCGTTTTGAAGTTGGTGAAGAAGGTCAGATTCATTTATGAGAGCCTTTTTTGAATATAAAAACATTTACTTATTCATATTCCTTGATGTTTAGTCTGTTTTCCAAAATGCTAATGCAAGTAGTAACCCTTATGAGAAAAGTTAGCCAATATTTGGAAGTATATTTAGTAACACTTTTACATTTTTTCTCAAAGCGCAAGAGCTCTATAGTAAGATATAGCCATTTTTGAAACATAATCATTCGGTTATAATTCATTCAGAGGGAAATGTTTTAAATGCACTGTCAAGTAAATTAATCGGTATTAATTCTTCTATATTAAATAATACATAGCTCATGCAGATGTGAAGCTTTTAACAAGAAAAATCCTCTGAAAATGATAAAAACCAACATTTAGGTACTGGAAGAGATGATGAGTCTTGAATCATTTCATGCAGTTGATCGTATTTGCTATTAGTGGATTTCAAAAAGTGTAGACGTTAGAATGTACACTTTGTGTGTACTTTATTGATGTTTCTTCCATCACCATGAAGTATGATTTCGCATTACGCATGATGTAAGATTTGATGAAGCGAAAGAGAAACACGTTGTTTCTATTTAATAGTCATGACAAGAAAAAACAAATAACTATTTCCGGAATGTTATTCAAACACAAACATCAACAAGTGTATGAAACAGCTTTAATGTTAAGTGCAGTTACTACAACGGTACTGTGCACTATTACTAACGTTAAACCGCATGTTAAATAATTCATCAAACTACTCGTAACCATAGCAGAATACACAGCAATAGATATTAGGTGAGTCAATGAATTTTCAAAACAGTCAAAGAAAACATATAAGATGAAGTACAAAGTCTTATGAAACCGTAAAACTAAACAAATAAACTCATAAAGTTAATAGTAAAAATAATGGAGAAAAACTTATGAAAGCATAATGTGCATTCGCGAAAATCGGACAGCTAAGACCATTATATTAACTTCTTTAGTAATTAGTACTAAGATAAGGTGCAGACAATTCAGAAATATAACATGACATGTTTCGTTTTTTTGGCATGGTTGGATAGAGCTGATTCAGTGGTTGATGATTCGAAGAAGTATCGAATTTAAGTTCATGAGAAGTGCAGCAAGCACCACCATCATTTTATAGTAGCCAAGCAGTCCTAAAAAAAAATTTCGTTGAAGAACGAATATTTTCACATTTCTCTTAATTTCTAATTTTTCAAGTGAGAAGAAATTAGTTTCGACAATAATTAAATAATACATATTCTCTATTTTATTTAACTTTCACCATACGCCTTCGTTAGTCTATATTCCATGCCAGCAACAGTGTTCTAAACGTCGCAAAAAACAAGGATGACGCTCTTTTGAGCAAAAATATTTTGTTTAACTGCTCTGTGTTAGACCTTGAACTGTACTGTACATTGACATCGGCAGGTGCTACTGCCTGCAAACTATGTCACTCTATCATGCATGCTGCAGCTTTCTGTCGGTTTGCTGCAGTCGACAATTCAGTCGCAGCTCCACAGTCATCGTCATCAACAACCGTACTCCATTTTTTAATTTTCGTCATACAACAGCTGATCCACGTGGAAACATGCGTTTTCATTTCGATGAAAATTCTGAGATGTTTTGGAGTTCAGAGTATATGTCAGTGTGAAATACTGAAAGACTGAAATTTAATTGTCATGGAATTCAGAGTATACTGAGAATATGAAACTCATGTGCGAATTCAAGTCTAGAGAATTTTAGAGTTTTACTGGATAGTGATGATTATACAATGATAATTTCACATTCCTTCCGGTAACAACCTTGTAATCATTGTTTTTCTACAATTGATAGTATAATATATTTTTGATTCAATGCCTTTTTAGTTTTGTTTTTAAATAACGAATAGTGCAATGTAGCTGCCAACAGATGCAGAATTTTGTGAATGTCTGTGCTTGGTTAGCAATTTTTGTGTTCTATCCAGCAAAGATAATTATCAATGAAGGTAGCTGGAATTCCCGAACCATAAAAGTTTATACATTTCATATTTTCTGGTTGACTGCACCAAGACCAAATTAATTCAATGTTCGAATCTGTTGGCAAACAAAGTGCACTAGAATTCCAATTACTAGCGGCGGGTTCAACAATGGAAACGCATTTCATCGAGTTCCATATGGCAGGACAATAATCATGAATACTTGTTAGTGAATCAGTATTTCCATTTCGGAAAGACAAGCCTATATCCTTGTTTGTACATATATAATGGTTGTTCCATAGGTACACTATTTCGTCACACCACCATCCATGAATAGGGCCACCAAAACTCAAACGAAATTCTAATTGTTTGGCTTGATTGTTCAGTGTGGATAGGTCCGCGTATGCAGTATGAATTATTGAAAACCAAATCATCAATTTTTCGAAAATCATGGCTATTTTGATCTCGAATAAAATTTCTTGCAGACCTGCAAACAGTATCTAGGCAAAGATAAACCTATTACATAGTTATGTTTTCTGATTCTGCCGCTTGTGTTGGGGTTTTTAAATTAGAGAATAAGAATTGTTTGTTTTGGTTACGAACACTACATATTACTGAAACTCACGTACGTTTTGTTTAAAGAACAGATCTTAGATCGTGCTTTAGCACTAATATAGTTCAGCGTAAGGGAAATTTTGACGGACTCTAAACATAAACTGATTCTTACAGATCGTGTGAATGAATGGCTGGGAGTGCTTTGTAACGAAGAACAGAATATTTAACGGTTGGTACGTTATATAGAAGTAAAAAAACACCGTCATCTTATGTAAATATTATTCCACCTGAAAAAAGGAACTAATTTTTACATCTTGCTGCATTTCTATGCTAATCTTTAATAACATTAAGGCTGTCAAAAGTTTATTTTATTGCATGCACATGTAGAATTATGCCTATGTTTGTGTTGTATAATAAGGACAGAGACGCATAAGAACGTAAATCGGCCCACTCCGAAATTCCAGCTAAAAAATGTAAAGGCCTAAGAAAAACGTCACGGAGAATCGTTTGGCACCATTTTCTCTCTTAAAAGATGGTGTTTTGCATTGCTTTACGGTCTCTCAAAATCATCGCATATACTACATACGCATATGTTCATCCGGAGAAATGAAGCCACGTTTTTCCATACGCAACAATGAACGAATGAGATTATCTTCTTTGATCAATGTCGGATCTCCATCAATAGGGCGAAACGTTGATGTAGCATTCAATATGTCATTCATTTTTTTACCGTAATCACATCGGTTCATGATAATAACCCCCTTACCCTTGTCAGAGTGTGTGACACAGATCGTCTTATCTTTTCCAAGTTCCCGAAGCACTCTGTTCATCATTAACGATTGTTTGTCTATTACCAAAGGTTCTCTTTTCGAACGTCGCCAGAAAGAATCCGACATCGACCTCAGCTTCGTAGCGTACGTAAGTTGTTGTGGCGTCCGATTGCACATAATTTCTTCGTCGGTCTCCTTTTCTTTCGAATCATGAGACTCCGTACAGTAGCCAACCAACGAGACGAAGAGTGTTTCCACATTGGCTATGAACGTTTCTTCATCAAATCTGTCTGTTGGAAACACATAACTGAGACCACCGATTAATGCATCTTTTTCTTCCATACTGAGACCTCGTTGGGATAGATTCATCACTGGATCAATCGTAGATGAAAGTTTGGTTCCTACAGTCATGGAGGATATTCGAATATTATCTAAGTTTTTCTCATGAATTTTGGTCCACGTAGACGTTTTTTGTCTAAGTAGCCGTTTAATTATCGAACCAATACGTATGAAATGAAGCTCGTTCATCTCCGATTTCATTTGTTCTTTCAAACGATTGAGCATTTTATACGATGTAGACAGCTACCTTTTCTTCCATTTTATTTCATCTACCAATATTTGCCGATGACAGTTGTCGATTGCTCACCCGTATACTTGCTGGCTCACAGGGACGCGAAACCGAACAAACTTCGGCAACAGATTTTCTCGTTTACAAGTTTTTAGAAAACCCAGGTCTGCCTTTAATCTATTTAATCTTAATGTTGTTCTTCCCCATAATCAAACCCTCTTTGAACACTCTGACCCATAGTGCTGCCTAACGTATTGTAAATAATTTGAGTTGTATGGCAAACATTTGAATAAAAATATTATTGTCTTAACAGCAGCTAGTAATTTCATCATAAATTTATTTCGAGCTTTCGAATCTTTTCGTTATTTTCAAGAAAACATGAAGTAACAATAAATAAACATTAAACATATTTTTGAGCAGAATCTTGAGTAGAATTTGAGAACATATAGTCATCTATATTTAGAGACTTCTACTGGTATAGTTTTCTTCCATTTATCCAACAATACACTCTATGACTCATCGTAATATAGTGTTTTTAGTTTACTTTATTCTGCTCAAAAAGATAGTTACTTCATGTTTTTGTTGAAAATGACGAAAAGATTCGTCGAAAGCTGGAAATAAATTTATGATGAAATTACTAGCTGCTGTTAAGACAATAATATTTTTATTCAAACCCACACAAAACTACAAACGAAAGGAAAGAACAACAGAGAAGCTGCCAAAAAGTAAAACAAATGATATGGCCTCGGTGAGTGTTATGGACTCTGACCACCTATATTAACTTTATCGACTCAAAAAGTTCTCTTGTTAAAA